GCCGCTGCGGCGGCGGTGGCGAGTGGCGGCGGCGAGGGGGGGGCGGGGTGGGGAGGGGAGGGAAGGAGGCGTGTGGTGTTATTTGGTTGGTGGGCGTGCGCCTGCCTGCGGTTTGGTCCGGTTCGGGACGGAAAATGGCGAGCGGAGGAAGCCGAAGCGACACGGGAGTGCGAGCCCCCTCACTCCCTTATCCATCTGCCTCGCCCATCCGGCCCACCGGCGACGCTCCCTCGCTCCCTCTCCTGGGCCTGGGCCTGCCTCTTGCTCCGCTTATGACCCACTGGCCGGCGGGGAGGGCGACGGCGGAGGAAATGGCGGAGCTGGTGAGAGAGAGAGAGAGCGAGCTCCCTCGCTGACCCGCCGTGAGTAATCCTGCTCGCTTGGGGCCGTCTGATATGGGCCCCTCGTCGTCAGGCCCCTCGTCTGGGCCTGGGCCTGCTCCGCTGACCCACTGGGCCGCCATTTTGAGGATCGACCGGGGCGGATGGCGACGGCGGAGGAGATGGCGGAGCTGGTGAGAGAACGAGCGAGCGCCCACGGGGGAGACGGCGGAGGAGGAGGTGCTGCGGCGGCTGGGCACGGGGGAGATGGCCGGGCTCACCGCCCACGAGGCGGCGCGGCGGCTCCGCCTCCACGGGCCCAACGTCGTCGCCCGCTCCCACCACGTCAAGGTGAGGCCCCGCGCTCCCTCCTCGCGCTCCAAACTGCTCTGCATTTCTCCATTCATCACCCGTTCATTCATAACTGAAGAACGAATTCCCTCCCAGAAAAAAAAAAACTGAAGAAACGAATACCAGCATTTCTGGCTTCAAATTCAACCTCGCCCAACTGATGGGTGATTCGGTACACAGATTCCGCAGTAATTCTGCTAACCATTTGATTCGAGTGCTAAGTAAGTTGCCTCGGATTGTGATTAAATTGTTGGCCTGGCCTGTTCTTTCGGTCTTCACAGCTGCATAATCACCCTTTGATTGTGATTATGGGTTATTCAGCTGAATGAATATATACTCTCTGTTTTTAACATTCACCTAATGTATATAGTTCAACCACAAGTGACCACCACTACTCTTGAATCTTGACTACCTTCTCAGTTTATTTAGGCTTCATTTGGATGTTAGGGTGGATATTTCCAGGGAGTAGATGCACCGGTTGAAATATTCTTGGCCAACTAGAAGTCCCGTGGAAAATTGGCATCGGCATTTGGTTCAAAAGTGCAAATCCCCCACACTACAGAAGCGCAGGCGGAGACTACCGAGAGGAGAGGCAGCTGCGGAGGGCGTCGCAAGCGAGCGAAACAGGGGAATCTTTGCCGATGTTGCGAGTCGTGGATCTGATCCCGGGGACATAAGGGGGGTTGGGCCGACAAAACCACGTGGACTCGAGCGTCCAAATGTCCACGCAGTTGGCCCGGGGCTGACTCTCCACGCGGGCTTTCCACCCAGGGAACGGGCCGGGATCCCGGGAGGATCCCTCGCTACCAAACGAGCCCTTAGTGTGTTTTTAGTCCCCTTCTCTTCGAGGTGGGCCATGTCGGTCCCAGCATGGAGTGCTAAACACATATTGTCATCTATGATTGTCACAATGCACGGCTTGATGTTTGAAATTTGGCGGTCAATCTCACCAACTGTACTCTCTGTGTTTATGGCAAATTCGCATTATGTTGTGCTGCTTTGCAAGTTAGAGTAACATTGTTAAATATTGATCAAAAAACACAGTGAATGTTGGTACAACTCAATGTGGTAACAGCTAGATTTCCTATTTCTTTTCCCTAGATCCCAGAGAGCCCCTCTTCGTCAGTAATACCGAGCTCACCTCTCTCCACCCATTCTGATCAAGGCAACTGTTGGCTATCAGCTCTTCTCGACGAGAGATACAAAAAGGCATAACAATCAGTAACTAGTTTACCATCCACAATTTGTATCTAATTTGGAAAATTATTGTTAGCCAGGTCATGCAGAGAATCATTTCGTTTACAGGTTTGTGAATAAAATGCAGCTTCATAAGGTCAAATTTATTGCCCCTGCAGGAGGGCAGCATGTTCAGAGTATTCCTGATGACGATCTTCTCGCTCTGGGGATGGCATCATCGATCTCTTCCCCGAGTACAAGACCATGGTCTGTGTCATACTCAATTCCATGTCATGGGTTACTGTACTAACTACAGTCGTGTGTCTCTCGCCATCGCATCAGCTGATAAGAGATATTACATGCTGGCCGCGGTCATCTTTTTACTAGCTACGACCTTGATAGCATGCTTTACTGTAAAGCTTGTCGTGGATTATGCTAAGGCACCACTGGAGGCGAAAGCATACGCACCGAGGGCCAAGGTGCTGAGAGATGGGAGTTGGGTAGATCTGCACGCAGCAATCTGGTCCCTGGGGACATGATATTTCTCAAGGGTGGGGACATTGTCCCTGCCAATGCTCGTGTCCTCCGGTTTCTGAAAATCGACACCATTGATTGGTGGGATTCCAATGGCAATGCCTGTTGTCCTCTACCTGGCATTAGCATTGGGATCTCTAAGGCTTTGCTTTCTGGGAATTGCTAGCCGAGGAACAGTTGCACTTGAAGATATGGCCAGTACGGATGTGATGCTCTTCAATTTGACTGGTACTTTGATGTGCTAAGCCATGTTTTTTCCGGGACAAGATTGAGTTGTTTGCTAATGGTGTTGACAAAGATCAAGCTATTATATTAGCTGCACGAGCATCAAGATCTCAACATGAATTCTATATAGAGCCAATTGATGCAGCTATTCTGAGCCTCTTGGATGATCCAGAACAGGTTTCCTTTCCTCTCATTATGTTATCTTTTAATGCCTATGTGTATTAATGTTTGGTAAACTTAACAAGCATACTGATAATGTAGGCAAGAGCTGGTATTGAGGTCTTAGAGCACCATGCCCGCTTCTTTGTTGCACTGAAGATGATGTTCCTAATTACATACATTGATAGCAATGGATCCAAGTGCTGCGTATTCAAAGGTGATCCTGCGAAGGCAAGTCACAGTGTCAAAAATGCATAGAGGCAAGCAAACAAGCCCCACTTCCATCACCATGCACGCATTTGCACATATTGTGTTAGTACAGGCTCATTCCTTGGTCATCTTTTGTTTTCATGCTATAGGTGGCTCATCAATGTGGCTGCAGCAAAGCAGTCAAAGAGAAAATAAGCATGGTAATGGATAATTTTGCTCTTGATGGGTATCAAGCCATAGCTGTAGGACACCAGGTGTGCAACTGAATTTCACATTAATTAGAATTCTGCAATACCCAAATTTATTGCATGTGTCATTTAATTTATATTATTTCCTCCAGGTGGACTCATGCTGGGAGTTCATTGGTCTTCTACCTTTCAGAGATGACCTTAGAAGTGATAGCGTAGATGCTATTGGTAGCCTTATCAATTTTGTTTTGGATATTAGAATCCTCACAGGTTATTCAACCGTTCAGCTGTCTTGTCATTTCCTGTAATAAATAGTTCTTCAGCAAACAGTTCATTTTCTCTCCTCAGAAAGCCCATTGTTGACTACAAAGCAAGTATGTGGAAAGCTTGGAAAACTAGGCATCAATGTGTTACCTGCCCACTCAGTGTTGGAGTTACCTCGTAATAACAGAGAAGCTCACTTAAACATCAATGGGATTTCCGATCTCTTTCCAGGTCTGTTCTTATCTTTGGAGCAATGTCCATTTTTCACATTTCCTTTGTATCTTTGGAAGAAGTTTCTGTTTATGTTGACAGTTTGAGTAGTACTTCTATCCTCTCAAGAAAGTTACAGCACACAATTTTAATAACGTTAAGGCTTTGATATATGGAAGGCACAAAGGTACTAGTCTTACGATTTTGCTATCTTGATTTATTAGTGCAGAGGATAACAGTGATATAGTGAGAAGGCTACGAGATTTCGATGTCTTTGTGCAATGGTTGGGTATGAATTTCTTGATCATGATGCCATTGGTGAAAGCCATATTGGAATTTCAGTAGCTGAGGCCACTGATTGCACCAAAAGTGAATCTGATCTTGTTTTGACTCAGTCTGCCCTGTTACCTATTGCATCAGCTGTGCAAATCAGTAGGGAGATCTGTCAGGTTATGAGGGGTTACACGGTATGTCATTCGAATGTATTTAAATGTTTGGTTGCTGACATGGTATTTGTTGTCTAAATCATGATAGACGGCTGATCACTTGCAATATGTTGCTTTTGTTGCAGATCTACACTGTCATCAACTGTCCATCTTGTGAGTACAATTATGACTGCATATTGTGTTAATAGTTTTTATAATTGACTGTATTGTGCAATGCTAACATGGATCATTAATTTTGTTGAAGGTTGGTTTCCATGTCATTTTACTCTTGTGGAACTTTAACTTGTCAAGTTTCCTGGCTTTGGTGATTGCCACTTTTAGCTATTGTGGGTCTCAACTGCAAAACGTCCACAACCTTACTCTACCTTATACTCCCTCCGATCCAAAATATAGGTCCTTTTAGACTTCGCCGCAGTAATTAAGGGTGCATGTGCAATGCCAATGCTACCCTTCAGTTATTTCTACAACTTCCTTTCTTTTCTCCCAAATACCATAATTTCCTGAATTACAGGCTCAATTCTTGATGAAATGAATGAGGAGCGAAATAGGAACAACATGAGAAATAGTTCAATGTGACCTTAGTAGGATCTACATTTCGGTTAAAGTTAAAAATGCTAAAAATACTTGCATTATGGATTGGTGGGATTGTATTATTTGTATCTTCATTTCAGTGTTCAATTGTTATTGTCCTTTTTACTTGCACGTACATCCTTTGCAAGTTGAAAGGGTGGAACTGAGTAATTCACCAGATAGATGGAGAGTTAAGAAAATCATTGCAAGCGGTGTTGCTTCTGGTAGCTACATCATTCTGAGTACAGCCATTTTTTTCAGGGCGGCGACACTTCCCGACTTCTTTTCAGTGAGCTTTCTTTCTTCCGGTCTATATACGTTATTTTGGTGTTGAACTGATGTACAGTATAAATTTGAAGGTAGATCGCTGATGGGCTCCGATGAAGAAATTAGAGCTGCTTTGTTCCTTCAGATGAGCATAGTGAACCAGGCTGTACTGTTTGTTAATTCTGACAATTGCTACCTTATCAGATGTCCTGGACCTGTTGTAGCATGTACTTTTATTTTTACTCAGATGGTGAGCTCACCTCCTCTTATCTATGTGTTTTTGTTGCGACCCTTCAATGACTGCATGATAATTTCGATCATCAAACTTCGGCCTTCTTGTGAGCATGATAATTTGGCACAGGATCAATGTGTCTGGCTAGGAATGATTGGCTAACAGTTGATGATGTTAAGAGTTAAGCCATTGTATGGAATAAATCTTGTGCTATTAGCACATTGTTCAAGTAGGATGCTCATGCCATTCTTTCCTCCAATCAGTCCCCCGCCCCCTGAAAGAAAACATAACAGATTTGTATTCATCCTATGAAGATCGTGTTGTGTAGAGATAGTAAAGTTTCTTAGTGCTAGGTATGTTTCTTCTCGATACTCATCATATTAACTGTTTTCTGTCAGGTGGCACTGGCAACCCATAAAGCTGTATATGGTGACTTGGATTTGGCACTACCAAAGGGTGTTGGTTGCCTCAGAGCAGGATTGATATGGCTGTACAACTTTGTGGTGCTCATGACCCCTGTTTTAATTTGTAAGTTTGCTAGATATGGAATTACTTGATGTTCTTTCCTTCAACCATCTGTTGCAACAGTAATTAATCTTCTGCTCTTCCGCAGGTCACTCATGGAGGCGTGCAAACATGACTACTGAGAAGTTGTTGACAGTATGCATACATTCAGCATCATGCGTATGGCTTTGCTCTGGTCACTGTATGTAATACTTGATGTCAGGCTGCAGCAGCCACTCTCTACTTTAGATGCCTCAAGTATAGGAAATATTTTTGTAGGTGGTCATTTCGCAGTGTATAACCTGTAAATGCCTCAAGTAAATATATCTCGATTGCCAAGTTATGCATTGGCCCCTCTTTATTCAGAAAACACAATTCCGGTTTCACAATATTGTACAGAAGTGCATTTCATTTTTATTCTATGCTTTACGTTAGATGTTGTTTTTATATTTTAAATTCTTTGTGTTTTAAAATCAATTTATGGACTCTAACCCCTTCTGATGCCTTATTATTTGCCCTGTACCATGATGTCAGCTAGCTGAAAAGAGTTCATCGCCAACATGGCACTTTACTGAAGGTACTAGGCTGAAAGGGTCAACTTCAAGTGTGAAGATTAGTAGATGTATCAAAATTGTAATAAGCATACTTCTCTTCTTGATTGGTTTGTCATCAAGACAGTATAGAAAGAATCAACACAGGCTGTGTCCTGTAAAAACCCTTGAATATGGTAAATATATATTTCCATCCTGTAAAATGATATTCGTCTGAACTGCCATTCAGGTAACTGCATAATGTATCGACTATTAGGACTGCGACGCAACAACTTAAGGAGTCCTTCATAGATACTTTCTACGTTTCCAAGTGATGCGTAAAGATATCTTATCTTACCACATTATGAGTTAATTTAGTTATCGCGGTGACACTTGTGCAGGTCATGGGTGGCCATGGTCGCTGGGGAGACTCTCCAAGCCTGCATTTGCATATGCCCAATTGGCGCCTGCCCCAGCAATAGTTATATGGTGGTGCAGTTGGCATGTGTGATGGTGGTTATTGGCAGGTGAGTTCCCAGCGTCATTCTTAGAAAATATTGCTATATTGCAGATATTTATACAGTAGCAAAAAATGTGTTGTCGGATGCGCAACGCTGGTATTGATATCGTAGTGGCATGCCTGCGTGCATCATCCTTGAAATGTCATTTCAATTTTAAACTACGATGTAGATATTTATGTTTATGAAGTGGAGAATGTGTTGTCAGATGCACAGGAAGTCCATTGCACTATAGGAAGGTTGCATCATCCTTAAAAAGTATGCCACCAATTTTAAAAATGTGTTGTCAGATGGGCATTGGAGCAGGCGAGGCCAGCATCACCCTGTGAAATATAGAAGAGGGGTGGTTAGCAAGATATGAAGTTATTGTTAGGAATATGCAACTTGTATTCCCATGAGGCCATAGGCCGATATATATATACATGTACAGGTGTGGAACATATGCAGGAAACCCCTCATACAACGAGATAAATATAAAGGGGTACATGACTTATATTATAACTCTAACACCCCCCCTCAAACTCATGGTGGATGAACAACACTGAGTTTGGAGAGATAAAAGCCATGTTGTGCTCTAGTCTGAGCCTTTGTCAGGAAATCCGCCAACTGTAACTCGGAAGGCACATACTGAAGAGCAATAACCTCATCCTGCACAGCAGCGCGCACATAGAAAGCATCAACACCAATATGCTTGGTGAGCTCATGCTTCACAGGATCGCGTGCAATGCTGATAGCACCTGTACTGTCAGATAGAAGCAGAGTCGGTGTAGTGACAGAAACACCAAAATCCTGAAGTAACCACCGTAACCAAGTCACCTCTGCCGTCAAAAGAGCCATTGCTCGCAACTCAGCCTCGGCACTCGAACGGGAAACTGCAAGCTGTTTCTTCGTCTTCCAGGCAATGAGAGAACCACCAAGAAAAACACAGTAAGCAGAAAGTGAACGGCGATCGGAAGGATCACTAGCCCACGTAGCATCAGAATAGGCCTGGAGCTGTAAAGAACTGGAGCGAGGAAAGAATAGACGGTGAGAGATCGTGCCTCGAAGATATCGAAGAATACGAAGGAGATGACTATAGTGAACCGAGGTGGGGGCAGAGACAAACTGACTCAGAATATGAACCGGATAAGAGATGTCCGGACGAGTGACAGCTAGATAGACAAGACTGCCAACAAGATGACGATAACGCGTCGGATCAGGGAGAGGATCACCATCAGTAGCACGGAGGTGAACATTGAGCTCCATAGGAGTCTCAACAATGCGCTCGTCAGTAAGAGCAGCACGAGCAAGAAGATCCTGGATATACTTTTCCTGGGATATAAAAAAGCCATCAGAGGTAGAAGACACTTCAATCCCAAGAAAGTAGCGAAGAGGTCCAAGATCAGACATAAGAAACTGCTCACTAAGACGGGCCTTTACAAAGGCAATATACTCGGGATCATCCCCCGTGATGATCATGTCATCAACATAAAGAAGAAGAAGAGTCCGACCACGAGGAGAAAGGTGAATAAACAATGCGGGATCATGAGCACTTGCTAAAAAACCAGCAGCAGTGATCACAGAGGCAAAGCGCTCAAACCAGGCGCGGGGGGCTTGCTTAAGGCCATAGAGAGAGCGACGAAGACGACATACCATGCCATCAGGAACAGAATACCCAGGTGGTGGCTGCATGTACACCTCCTCACGCAGCTCACCATTAAGAAAGGCATTCTTAACATCAAGCTGAGATATAGACCAGTGGCGTGCAGAGGCAACGGCAAGAAGGGTACGAACAGTGGTCATATGAGCCACAGGAGCAAAAGTCTCGTCATAATCACGACCATGCTCCTGCTGAAAACCACGAGCCACAAGACGGGCTTTGTGACGCTCAAGAGAACCATCGGAGCGAGTCTTAACCTTGTAGACCCACTTACAAGTGATCGGACGGACTCCGGGAGGAAGAGAAACAAGATCCCAAGTACCAGTGCGTTCAAGAGCAGCAATCTCCTCTGCCATCGCAAACTGCCATTCAGGATGAACAACAGCCTGACGGTAAGAAGTCGGCTCAAGAACAGCAGCACCAGCAGTGGGAAATCCAAAGCGATCAACAGGCGGACGAGGACGAGAACGCAAACCATAAGTAGGCTGAGAGAAAGATGACGACCCATCCACGGAGGCATCAACTGGTCGTGGACGACGAGTGTAATGTTGAGGAAGAGATGGAATAATAGAAGGAGGAATCGGCAAGGTAGAATCAGGGGGTGACGACGAAGAAGTCACCGGAGATGAAGGTGTAGAATCCGGTGACAAACTGGGAGAGGAAGTCACCGGAGATGAAGGTGGAGAACCCGGTGACAAGCTAGACGAGGAGACCGGGGAGGAAGGTGACTGCAAGTCAACGAGATGTGGAGAAGGAGAGGAAGTGGAACAGAGAGGTACAGTGTCGGCGAGGGTGATAGGTGTGTCAGGAAAAGTGAGGAAAGAGATATCCTGCACTGAAAAAGTCGAGGAAGATGGGCGTGGGTAGAAAGGACGAGACTCGTCAAAAGTCACATCTCGAGAGATACGCATCCGACGACCAATAGGATCCCAACAACGATAGCCCTTATGCTCATCACTGTAGCCTAAGAAAACACACTCAACAGACTGAGCAGTCAGTTTGGTGCGTTCGCGAGGGGCAAGAAGAACATAGCAAACACAACCAAACAAGCGAAGCATCGAATAATCGGGAGAACGATCAAAAAGTCGCTCGAAAGGAACACCACCCTGTAGAGCAGCGGAAGGCTGTATATTGATAAGATAGGTGGATGTGGAGACGGCCTCAGCCCAAAAATGAGGCGGGAGAGAGGCAGCAATCATCAATGCACGAGCCGTCTCAAGAAGATGTCGATGCTTTCGCTCAGCCACACCATTCTGAGCATGAGCACCAGGACAAGAGAATTGAGAGAGAGTCCCGTGTTCAGCAAGAACACCACGCAACATCTTAGAGATATACTCGCCAGCGGAGTCAGCACGAAAAACACGAATGGGTGAAGAGAACTGAGTATGAACCATGGCAGCAAAACGCTTATAAATAGACAACACCTCAGAACGAGAAGTCATGAAATAAAGCCATGTGTAACGAGAGAAATCATCTATGAAAATAATATAGTATTTATGACCACCTTTCGAAGCGAAAGGGGCCGGACCCCATACATCAGAATGGACTAAATCGAAAGGACGCTTAGACACGGACTCACTATGTGAATATGGTAACTGAATCTGCTTACCAAGACGACAACCCTGACACTCTAAAGAGACATCTCCTGAGACAGACCCCAGAAGGCCTCGACGAACTAAGGAAGACAACCGAGATCCACACAGATGACCAAGTCGATGATGCCACTGCTGGAAGGAACCAGTGACAGAGGCAACAGAAGCGGAAGAACTGGCGATGGTGGTAGCAGCAGAAGGAACATGAAGCCAGTCCAACTCCCAAAGACCCTGAGAATCACGGCGGCGAGGGCCAGCCCCAACCAGAGTGTGCGTGTGACGGTCCTGAACAGAACAAGAGTCAACATCAAGGATGACACGACAACCAGAATCCGTAAGTTGACCAGCAGAAAACAAATTCATGGTAAGTCGAGGAACATGAGCAACATCAGGAACAGAATAAGAAGGAGTAGTAAGATTGCCTCTACTAGCAACAGAAAGTGGAGTACCATCAGCAGTGAAGACATGAATAGGAGAATCCAGTGATCGAAGAGAGGACAAAGTGGAGGAATGAGAAGACATATGAAAAGAAGCTCCAGAGTCCAGAACCCATGGGGATGTACCTGACTGTGTAGAGGGTGATTGCTCAGTGCGGGAAGCATCAGTCACAGAACCGGCAGTACCCGTCGAGGAAGAACCTGAAGCCGCGAGCAGACGCTTAAGTCTCAGAATATCCTGCTCAGTCAAAGCAATGGCTGAAGCTGTCGAGGTAGACGACGAAGTCCCTGAAGATGATGATCGAGCCTTGCGCAGGTGTTTCTTCTTCGTGTAGCACTGAGACTCAAGATGACCATCATTGTTGCAATAGGCGCAGTGTGGACGGGGGCGACCGGAGCCTCCAGAAGGAGTGGGCAATAGCGGCAGAGCACTCGAGCGAGAAGTGGTCGATGGAGCAGGTGGCGGAGGAGCACGAGTAGCAAGCACAGAGGGA